CCCCCATGGAGAGCCTACAATTACTTGGCATTCTATAGTTTAGAGTCAAAACACATTGTTAATCATTCTACCTTTTCATTACATACTTTTGTAAACATAGTGGGGTGTACATACATCACACAATCTTAATGAATTTTGATGAGGGCACCAAACATTTTCATAGATCTAATAGGAATAAACATTACTAAAACAAAGTTCTTACCCTCCATATATACTCAGTTCCTATTAAATCTACATCATCCATTAAAAAGGCCCGTCTTTTAGCTTTCAGTTTCCCCTCTTTGGAATTCACAGCCTTGAAAAACCTTTCAAAACACCTGAAAAAATAAAACATTATGAAAAGACAGTCTCTTAGAGGTCGAGCGAGAAGTGCTGGCACTTGAGCAAAGGACTGAGTTTGGTCGTATGAGATGGACCCATCCGAAGCACGTGCTGGAGGAGTGTCAGCTTCAGTTGGTTTGTACCTCTAGCTGTGTTTAGATCGGTGCGTCACCGCAGCTGAGGCTGTGTGATCCCCACTACTACTCAACTCCCCTCTCTTGGCTTACACAACGCGCATTTAGGTGCCACCACTACTCGCACGACCTATAGTTACTATACTACTACAAAATTAATTTAAAAGTTGAAAAATAACAAAACAAAAGCTTCAACATTCCTGTCTGGTAAACTTTCATTCCAGTTATTCAAACTGTTTAAAAGGGAACAAAACAATTCTTGAAAAACATGAAACTTGTGGAACTAAAGATCAGGCTGTTGCTCCTACATCCTGTTACACTTGATCCAAGGCAGTACCACTGAACCATAACTGACAAAATTCTATTTCATTTCACAGAACTTATTAAAAAGTTCTAATGTTTCGATTATGCAGCACCATACACAATACTCACTTCATGCCACTTTCTGTTAATAATGTAGGGTCCAACTGAAGAATATTGTTTTCAAAGAAATCCTTATTTATGGCTGGATCTAGATCAGGTTCTTCTCCCATAAGTTTAGAAAACCACTTGAAACAAGCTTCTCTGTCAGAAGGGAAGACGGCCTCTTCGGCCAGACAGTGCCAGATTTGCTTTGCCTGGTCAGCACATAACCACAGTTGGCCATCCTGCAACACAAAAATACTACTGTAACATCAAACAAAGTACATACTTACTTCCAACATTCATCAAATGCAGATCTAAAAGCGAAGCAGGCAAATACAAAAGAAAATGGAATGGGAAATTTATTATATTTCTTTGCCAAGATAAAGTTAAACTGAGAGGATTTACATCCATATCTTTAAAGATGAGTTTTCATAAAACTCTGTATAATCATTTTGAATATAAATATTGTCATAAAATTGTATTTTTCTTTTAATCATATTTGTGTCCTAATACCATTCAGGTTTACATATATTGCTGGATTGTGAAATAAATTTGTTTGTTTCTATGAACTATCACGTGAAAATACTTGCATATAATTATGTTCTATAAGTCAGGCTTTTTACTAATTTAAGACTACCTCTTCACCCTTTTCGTTGGAAAAAGTAAAGTTTTACTGTACTTACAAATCCCATATACCACAAGCAAATGATGTTTTAACAAACCCAATGGGAAGATTAAGAATTTGATTTAAATTAGAAATATTAGGTCTCTCTCTCTGTACAGTGAATATTCAATGCTTTATTTAGTTTTTTTTTGTTATGCAATCCACACAACCTATTGAAATATCTTATGGTGGACTTCTTTCAAGCACCTGATATGGAATATAGTACTATCATAATGTAAGATTTGCATTAGCCAATTAAGAGCCAATTGCCAGTTTGACAGCAGCCTTTGTAGAAACATTATAATTGAGAACAGCCACATTCAGAAATCAAGGTAGCATACAACAAGGCATAAGATGAAGAAAAATGAAAGAAAGGAAGAAAAAAATAGTATGAAATAAAGTGTTTCCAAGTAAAAGTATATAACAGTTGTGTGGGACTGCATAACATAATAATTTGAAGGTATTAAACATTCACTCTGAATATACACACGTGAGCACGCCTGAAAAATGATACTTAAAATTGTTTCACTTCGTAACATAAATGGAATTACTTCTTTTGAATCCTTATTCTAGTACATATTAATTTCCTCAAATCTTCCTTTATTCTTGTTTAGCAAAATTTATTACACATTTTATACTGATCGTTAAGTCTAGCATCAACACAAATTCCGATATGTAAAAGAACAAAATTTGTTAAAATTTTTTACCACTTACCTTTAATAAAAATCGCAAGAAATTCAACCTTTCTTGAACTTGCTGTATATGATTATACCTATTATCAGGGAAGAAATTGCTTGGGTCCAAGCTATTGTCTTCTGAAAGAAGAAGACAAATAATTAATTCACAACTCACGCAGAAATAGAAGTCCTTCAAAGATCCCTTCTATGCACAAGCCCAAAGTCAAACAAGTAACAATGAAACCTACCTTTAGCTATTTGCCTAACTTTATCCATGTATAATGTTAGACTATTAGTGACTAAAATTACAAGGCTATGTTGGTTTTGTAGTCTTTCAATTACTTCTTGCCTGAAAATAAAATAAAAACTTAACATTAGCATACATAATTGTAAAATGTAAACAAGTTTCAAACAATCAGTGATTAACAATGAAACAGCATACTGCTTCCAACTCCATTCAACTGCACCAATCTGATTCAAATGCTGTAAATCCAGAATTTGAAAATGCAAACAAATGTATAAATTAGAAAAGCAGGCCCATAATTATAGCCTACAGAACCATGCAATTCAGCTTTAACTTCTCCCATTAATCAATGAAGAACCAGTTATTTTTGAACAAGCATACATAGAGAAAACTGATTCTCTGCCAGTTGCTCAGCTGTTCTGCACAGGAAAGTCTTCATTAAGACATGGGAACTGAACTAACAGGAAATGACTCAACAGAGTTTCAAAGTTTCCCTCCAGCTGCATTGCAGTTGCAACTGGGTTTTCTAGGCATACACCATGCCTCATGACTGCACATTTTGTTCAGCTGCCATGGGGATGAAGTTGAAATGCAGTTTCCAAATGCCTTAAACCTAGACCTTAAGGGTTACT